TTCCATCCCAACTTTTGTTTCTTGTTCAATCTCAACCCTTATTTCTTGTTCCCATCCCAATCCTTATTTCTTTTTCCATCCCAGCTCTTATTTCTTGTTCCATCCGAACTCTTATTTCTTGTTCCATCCCAAATCTTATTTCTTGTCCCATCCCAACTCTTATTTCTTGTCCCATCTCAACCCTTATTTCCTGTCCCATCCCAACCTTTATTTTTGTCCCACCTCAACCCTTATTTCTTGTCCCATCTCAACCCTAATTTCTTGTTCCATCCCAACCCTTATTTCCTGTCCCATCCCAACCCTTATTTTTGTCCCATCTCAACCCTAATTTCTTGTTCCATCCCAACTCTTATTTCTTGTCCCACCTCAGCCCTTATTTCATGTCCCACCTCAGCCCTTATTTCTTGTCCCACCTCAGCCCTTGTTTCTTGTCCCATCCCAAACTTTATTTCTTGTTCCATCTCAACCCTTATTTCTTTTCCCATCCCAACACTTATTTCTTGTTCCATCCCAATTCTTATATCCTGTCTCCTCTCAACCCATGTTTCCTGTCCCATCCCAACCCTTATTTCTTGTTCCATCCCAACCCTTATTTCTTGTTCCTCCTCACTCCTTATTTCTTGTCCCATCTCAACCCTTGTTACTTTTTCTATTCCAACCCTTATTTCTTGTCCCACCTCAACCCTTATTTCCTGTCCCACCTCAACCCTTATTTCTTTTCCACCTCAACCCTTATTTCCTGTCCCATCTCAACCCTTATTTCTTCCCCATTTCAACCCTTATTTCTTCCCCATTTCAACCCTTATTTCTTCCCCATCCCAACCCTTATTTCTTGTTCCATTCCAACTCTTATTTCTTCTCCCACCTCAACCCTTATTTCTTGCCCCCTCTCAACCCTTATTTCTTTTTCCATCCCAACTCTTATTTCTTCCCCATCTGAACCTTTATTTCCTGTCCCACCTCAACCTTATTTCTTCCCCATTTCAACCCTTATTTCTTCCCCATCTCAACCCTTATTTCCTGTCCCACCTCAACCCTTGTTTCTTTGCATCTTCCTGGGCCTCATCCATTTTACTCCTCCAGTTTCACTGTGAAAGGAACTTCTTACAGAGCCAAGATTTTGCCTGGAGGTCACCAGTGAGCCCTTGCCATAAACAGCTGGGTGTCACATGGTGAATCCTCCTCTGCATCTCCTGAGGCCTCTGGAAGCTGTGCCAGCTCACGTAGGAATGGGAGGCATCTTCGCGTGGGCAGAGTGGGGATGGTCACACTGGGATTTTGTGCCAGGAGTGGCCAAGGTTGCCTTCTCCTCACCTCTCCACTTGTTTTTTCCCAAGAATTGTAGGATTTCAGCAGAGGGAGAATGTGAGACTGGGGGCTTGATGCTGCCTTTGTCCCTCCTGGGCTGCTCTGGCTCTGGTTATCCTGGGATGCCACAGCTATCCCAAATCATGACACCTTCTCCCAGACTTTCCCAGCTGCTTCTACAGCCCTTCCATCCCTAAATAGAGTTTTATTCTTCCATCCCTAAAGCATTTCCTCTCCTTTAGTTCCTTGGGCTAAGGATCCTTACCATTACCCAGTATCTTCCTGTGTATAAAGATCCTTACCATTATCCAATATCTTCCTGTGCATAAAGATCCTTATCATTATCCAGTATCTTCCTGTGCCTAAAATCTGTATCATTATCCAGTATCTTCCTGTGCATAAAGATCTGTATCATTATCCAGTATCTTCCTGTAGTTGAAGCTCCAAAAAGCTGGATTTGGACCTTTCTCAAACACAGCAATAAGGTTTTGTTGTCATTTTTTACACAACTGCTTCAGATCATACCTGTAGAGATGTTCTGGGTGCTCCAGGATGGCTTCATGTCCAGGTGGACCAAGGACGGACCTCTGGGTGAAAGTCACTCTGTCCCTGCCCACGAAGACAAATCCTCTGCCAGGTTTGCTGATGCTCCCAAATACAAGCCTGGAAAATCAAAAAAAAAACCAAAGGAAAAATCAAGGAGCTGCATCAGAGACCAGAGGGGGTGTGGAGTCTCCTCCCTGGGGATATTCCAGACCCCTCTGGACACAATCCTGGAGCAGGGAGGTGGGACCAGATGGGACACTGTGGGCCCTTCCAACCCCACCCACCCCGTGGTCTTTAAAGGTTCTTGTACAGAAGGACAAGAAGAACCTTTAAAGGTCCTTGTACAGCTTTGCTTCTGAAGGAGAGCTGGGAATTAGCTGGAATATGGCTGGAAGGACAGCGGAGAGAGACACCATGGAAACCTCCAGGAGAGATTCTGACTGTGCCAAGGGAAGGACGAGGCCCTGAGACAAAAGGAGAAGAGTTTCAGGGAGGGATGGTGATGCTGTGGGAGAAGGAGAGCAGATGCCCCCACTGTGGGGCCCTTCCAGCCTCATCCATCCCGGGATTCTGCCAAACAGCTTTTTTGCCTTCACAACATCCATCAGCTCCCGTGTAAAATCCCCCAGGTCAGGATTAGTTTGCCCCAAATTCAGCCTTTGCCCAGTGCAGTCCCCAAGCCCTGAGCCAGGATTCCTTTGGAAGCATCCAAGGGCTTTGCAGGCCGTGAGTCATCCCAGCCCCGAGGAGGTGCCTAAATTAGGGCAAGGGAGAGCTCAGGGGAGCAGCTCTGACATCCACCCCAGAGTTTCAAGTTCAGCAACACAACTCCCACCCCCAGACACTTCTCAGTTGACCCAGTTTATCAACAACTGGCATCTCTCTCAAAAAGGAGACTCTTTCATCTGTGCTTTTTATTTCGGGGCTTTTGCTGCAAACCCCGGGTTTGGAGCACAGATGCCTGGGAAAAAACTCACCCTCCAGAAAGCACCAGGGGCTTCCCAAGGATGGAAATGTCCTCCCAACACGGCTGACTGACAGTCCAAGAGCTCACCCAGAGCTTTGGCACCTGATGTCATGGAATCATGGAATATCCCGACTTGGAAGGGACCCCCAAAAATCATCCAAGTCCAACCCCTGGCCCTGCCCAGGACATCCCAACAATCCCACCCTGTCCCTGAGAGCGTTGTCCAAATGCTCCCAGAGCTCTGGATCAGGATCTGGAATGTTGCTGGGACCCTGAGGAGGGAATTTGGGGCTGGTCCTGACCTGGAAGATGCTCCAGCCCTTTCAGCACCAGCCACATTCCTTCCCTCACACAAGGGGGTGAATCCCTTGCTGGAGAATCCCAGCAAATGCCTCACAAATCCTGTAGTTCCCAAGCTCCTGCAGGGTTTGTGCTGCACAACAGCAGGAGAATTCCAGCTGGAATAGCTGGAAAAACCAGCAGGGAGCCAGTCCAATCCAACTCATAGCATGGAATCAGGGAATGGTTTGGGTTGGGAAGGACCTTAAACCCCATCCAGTGCCACCCCTGCCATGGGCAGGGACACCTTCCACTATCCCAGGTTGCTCCAAGCCCATCCAACCCCACCCAGGGATGGGGAATTCACTCCCAAATCAAATATATACTTAATCAAGCCCCTTATAGGACTCTGAAGTGTATATTTTGCAGCAATTTAGCCCGAATTACCCTCTATTTAGTTCCTATTATTGTTCAAACAACTCCCAAGACATACAGGGAGCTTTATAAACACATCAAGCTGATAAAACCAAGCCCATAAAAGCTTGGAGCCTAAACAAACCAGAGCAGCAAATGAAGACAGACTATTGTGTGGGGGCTGAGGAAATGGTTACAACCAGGAAGGATAATTTGGTGTGGACTTCATATTTAACAAAAAAAAATAAAAATAAAAAAAGGCACATTTTTCAGTCGATATTTCTGGCCCTGGCATTTTCTGCTGAAAAGCTTCTTCCTGACCTGCCTGGTTTTATTTGCATTGAAACATTTGCCTCATCAGAGAGCCTCCCCAGGGACTGCAGGGTTGTCATAAACTCCCTGCCAGTCTATTTTAAGCAGAATATCCATGTGTTTGAGCGTTCAGGCTCTGAGGAGCTGCCTCTACCCTCGCCAGAAGTCAGGGAATGCTGCCCACAGGCCTCTCCCAGGTTTGTCTCCCAAGGAGACCTTTCCTCAAGGACCCTGCTCTTGTTTTCCCATCAACCCGGCTGAGGAGGAAAGGGGATGGGAAGAGAGAGGTTCAGATCAGAGATTTGGGAAAATTTTTGCTCTCCAAGAGTGGTCAGGCCTTGGAATAAGTGTCCCAGGGAGGTGGTGGAGTCCCTGTGTCTGGGAGAGTTCTAGAGGAGCCTGGATGTGTCCCTTGGGAATATGGATTAGGGGTGATCCTGGTGGTGCTGAGGGGGGACTGGATGATCCTGGAGGTCTCTTCCAACCCTGGTGATTCTGGGATTCAGAGAACTGACAGTCCAAGTCCTGTTCCAGAAAGACACAAACCAACAGAGAGAAAGAAGTGATCAGAAACATGAAGTTGCATCTAATTTATTTTGTATGACCTGGTCAGACTGGTTTGGGTTGGGAGGGACCTTAAAGCCCATCCAGTGCCACCCCTGCCATGGGCAGGGACACCTTCCACCAGCCCAGGTTGCTCCAACCTGGCCTTGGACACTTCCAGGGATGGGGAGTCCTCAGCCTCTCTGGGCAGATACTTCATGGAATCATCTTTTTGTCCATATTTTGGAAGTCCTAAAACTCCCCGAGCACCCCGGGTTGTCCAGGCCTGGGGCACTTGTTCATTCTCAGGGCAGATCCCTGAGGTTTGAAGGTTTGTTTTAGGCCAAAACCACCCTTTTGGAGTGCAGGCAATGCCCTCCAAGGTTCCTGGGCCTTTTCCTGCTGTTCTTTCCTCTCCCTCAGTGCCCCAGTAAAGTCCCTCACCTGGGGTTTGACTTTAAGCCCGAGCTTAAAGTCCCTTCCTTGCACAGGGAACCCTTTCCTGAGCCAGGCCCAGGGCACAGCTTGGAATTCCTGCTGGCTGGAACCAGCAGAGGCTCCTGGGGAGCCCAAATTCCAGCCACCCCCTCTGCTCCTGGAGCTTCGGCTCCTTTCCAAGGCTGCTCTTCCCTGGGATCGGCCCCAGCAGGGGCAGGGATGGGAGTTTTCCTTGGCTGCTCCTGCCTTCAGTCCCTGGCTGTTGGGAATGAAACTCCATTCCCTAAATCCTGTGGGAGAGATCCTGTTCCTTCAGCAACTTCCCTGGAAACATCCCACAGGTGTCTGGATGTGGCCCTTCGGGACATGGGATAGGGATGATCCTGGTGGTGCTGGGGAATGGTGGGACTGGAGAATCTTGGAGGGCTCTTCCAACCTTGGTGATCCTGGGATTCTGTTGAGGGAGCCAGGACAGCCAGGGATCAGCAAAGCTGGAATGTCCCCAGCGCTGGGGGTCAGCCCTGGCCTTCCCACATTTGACAAGATCAGTCTTTGCAGTAACAGATGGGAATTATTTTAATTAATTTTAATCACTACCATAAAATATCTCAGCCTACATCTGTAATTCTATCTGGTCATATGATCTTTCCCTACTAAATAAGGTTAAAAAATACGTTTATTGGCACCTTACTAGCAGGGGATTTCTTCTGACAGTTGGACCCATCTCCTGTCTGCATCTCCTGTTTTTCAAACCTCTGTTTAACACCCTCAATTCTCTGCTGACACACAGAGCTGCTCATCCCTCCTTAATTACTGCTCTTATCACAATCCATCTCCAACAGTAATTACACATTATTCCCTCTATCACCTCGTGCTAAATCCTGAATATTGGTTTACCAAGCCAGGATTAACTAATCCCACCCCACTTAGACATCTGGTCCCGGAGCCATTTGGGTTGGGAAAGGCCTCTGAGGTCACTGAGTGCCACCCTCACACACAGCACAGGAGGGTGACAGCTCCTTCTGCTTTCCATCTCCACCTCTCCCTGGAATTTGTGTCCAGCACCTGGGATTGCAGCAGCAGGAGTGTCTATGCTGGAGGGTTTAACATCCAGTTGGAATTGGGAATCTTTGTCCTTCTGCTCCAGCTGTCCTGTGGATTCTCCTAACGACAGTCCTGGAATCCTGGAATTAGAGAATTAGGGAATCATGGAATGGTTTGAGTTGGGAGGGATCTTAAAGCTCATCCAGTTCCAACCCTCTACCATGGGCAGGGACACCTTCCACCTGCCCAGGTTGCTCAGGGGCCACATCCAACCTGTCCCTGGACACTTCCAAGGAAGGAGCATCCACAACTTCTCTGGGCAGAAGACAATTAGTCAAAACCTAGAACTGTTTGCCCATTTGGAAAACACAGGGATGAAGCTCCCACTGTAATTCCCACCAACCTGCCTCTGGAGAGCCTTCAGGGGAAACCTTCATCAGAGCAGGAGCTTTTCCTTTGGCTCCAGAAGGGTGGATTTGATCTCCAGGGCTCCCCAGTGGCACAAAGGAAGGCAGGGTGGAGCTGAGGGAATCAGCTGGAAAGGAGGGAATCAGCTGGAGAGGAGGGAATCAGCTGGAGAGGAGGGAATCAGCCGGAGAGGAAGGAATCAGCCGGAGAGGAAGGAATCAGCCGGAGAGGAAGGAATCAGCCGGAGAGGAAGGAATCAGCCGGAGAGGAAGGAATCAGCTGGAGAGGAGGGAAGGATTCCGATGCTTTGCAGCAAATCAGGCCCGAGGCCCCCTCGGAATGCTGAGAAGGAAGGAAGCAGAACAATGAAGTGCTGCCCAGGCCACGGGTACCATCCCACTCCAGGGGCCCCCATGGCCCAGCAAATGGGGAGAGTCTGGGACTGGAACCCACATCCCACCCCACAGCCGGGGTGGGTGACACACAACCCCTTTAATTCTCCTTCTTTGGAGCTTTTCAGCTCTTCCCATCCCAATCTTCCCCACTTTTTGTTCCCAGATTGAAGGGGCCGAGAGGTTGTAGGGCACAGGCTCGTTAACCATTTTAATGGCTCGTTAACCATTTTAATCACCTTCACCAAGCTCAGCTCTGAGAACCAAGCAGTGAACCCCCATCCTGCAGCAATCGAGGAGCCTTCCCAACGGGACACGTGGGAATCTTTCCATAGATCCAGCCCCTGGGCAAGGAAGGCCACACAATGTTTTTGCAAGACAGGCTGCACCCAGCACAGAGCTCCTTCAGCTCCAAACCCCTCCCTGGGCTGCCACAGGATCCAACTGGGAAAACACGGATGGATCTGCAGGAACTCATTCCACCTGCCTTGGAGGGACACACGGAGAGCTTGGAAGGGCTGCCAGTTGTGGAACATCAAGAATTCCAAACCTGTGTGTGACTCACCAGGCCCAACCCATCCCCCCAAGGTTACTTTTACTTAATATTCACAGGAGGCACATTGTTATTCCTTCTTCAGAAAAAGTCATGAATAACTTACCATTCATTACCATTTCTTTTTTTTTTTTCACGATTGGCTTCATCTAAAAGGATGAGAAAGCGTTGAAATTGTTCATTTCCCAACCTCTTCAAATCTTTTTAGCTCATTGTTGTCGAGCACAGAAGTGTTTTTCAGCGCCTTTTGGTTAACAAAAGACAATATTTGGGGGGTTTTGTTTGAAGAGCTCCATTTGTTTCGTAAGGAATATTCACCTCTGCTCCTAAAAAAGTGAAAAAAAGAAGGGAAAAGCCAAAGTAGGTGAATATTTGGACAACTCTCTCAGAGACAGGGGGGGATTTTTGGGGTGTTCTGTGCAGGGTCAGAACTTGGAATGGATGATCTTTGGGGGCCCCTTCCAGCTCAGGACATTCCATGATTCTATGATTTCCATTTATCCACATCAGAAGTCACACTTCAGGCTGCCAGAAAAACATGGGCTGCTGGGATCTGCTTGGCAAATCCTCCAGCATTCCACCTGGGATCATTCAAATGTCCCAAACCCCAGTGGTTTCCTCTACTCACCGCAGGAAGAAGTGATCCCTCCATTCCAGGCCTTGCCCATGGGATGAGGGGGAATCTTCCAGCTGCTGGTTTTTTGCTTGTGAATCCCACGGGAACCCGCTGGGAATGACACCTGCAGGGTGAGGGTTGTCAGCAGTTACCACGGAAACAGGGATTTTCATGGAATTGGTCCACCTGGTTGAGGTAAAACATTTTCTTTTGGTTTTAAGACAAGTGGTGGAGCTGGGATGGGATTAGGCCACTGTATCACCATCCCTGTGAGATGTGGACCCCAAAAAGGGGTCTTGCCCTCAGCCCAAGCTGCTCCTTCCTCCTGTTATCCTTCTTGTCCAAGATGCCGTGAGGAATAAAACTGGGATCTGAGCTGGGTTAAAACACAACTTTCCTTTCTGAGAACCTGGACCAGTTCCCTCACCTGGAAAACAACTGTCCTAATGCATCCCAGAGAGGGTGGTGTGGGAATTGAAGGAAGCACTGGAGCAGGGAAAGATGTTTCACTCACTCCCTGCTTTGTGCCAGGAGAAAATGGTCTGGAAACTACAGCCCTGGGGTCACATTTATCCTGCTCCCAGCCTGAGTTTGCCTCTCCTCACGGGGTCCTCCCTGCTTCCATGTGGTTTTTATTTCTGGAAATACCTCAAACTGTCAGATCTCCACCATCCCAGCTTCTTATTAACAAGGCAAATCAACTGGTGCTCATCATAACCCAGCCCAGGCTTGACCCCCCCCGGGATGTTCTCCGTGGGTCCTGCACAGAAGAGAAGGGATGACCTTGGTTTGTCCTTGGAACCCCAGCACCTGTTTGGTGCAGCAGCTTCACGTGGTCCAACACAGGTCCATGTTCACACCCCTGGCCAAAGAGGAGCCCAGAAAATGCCCCTGCACACCCACACCCCCATGGTTGGCACTGCCAGCTCCTCAGAGGAATCTCAGGAGGGTTTGGATTGACCTTTAAATATCATCTGTTCCAACCCCCCTGCAAGGAGCAGGGACAGCTTTGGCCTTAATCCAGTTGTCCAGGATCCTGGAGCAGCCAAAGGGGCAGGAGAGACCCTGAGCCAAAGGAAGGGCCTGAGTGGAGATCTCCCTCTCCAAGGGCATCTCTCCTCCGGGAGAGGGATCCCGGTGCAGCCACCCCAAACACCAGCAGGGCCAGGAGGAGATTTCATGGAATGGTTTGGGTTGGAAAGGACCTCAAAGCTCGTCCAGGGACACCTTCCACTAGCCCAGGTTGCTCCAGGTCCAGCCTGGCCTTGGACACTCCCAGGGATGGGGAGTCCACAACCTCCCTGGCACCCAAGGGAGGGGAGCTGAGCAGCCCTTGGAAAGCCTGAGGAGGAGAGGGACTTTCAGCTCCTCCTTGAGGTGGAGGAAAGGCCTGGAAAGTTTGGAGTTGATCACCAAACACAAGCCCATGCATGGAGTAAGTGCCTGGCCTTGATCCCTCTGCTCCAAACTTTCTCCCTCAGCATTGCCCTGAGGGAATTATTCCCTCTTCAGCTCCTGCTGAGCTTTGTCAGCCCTGCACTGACACAACTCCTCCATCAGTGTCAAACTCCACCTGTAGGCCCTGAGCAAGTTAAATTTAGCAACACACCATCAATATGTGCCCCAAAATCATACAATGGTTTGGGTTGGGAGGGACCTTAAAGCCCATCCAGTGCCACCCCCTGCCATGGGCAGGGACACCTTCCACCAGCCCAGGTTGCTCCAAGCCCCGTCCAACCTGGCCTTGGACACCTTGGAAATTATTTTCTGGTGGTTTTAATTTGCCTCCTACCATCACTAAAGGCTGGAAGCCACGTGCAATATTATCACTATAAATATGGGGTAAATCTACTTTACAACTGTTAGATCCATGTCACTTTTAAGTTTATACATTAATATGTATTACATACACATTTATTCTCACACAGACATATAAAACCCCCTTTTTTCCTTCATTTTTACACCGTGGGCCATATTTCTAAAAAAGCCAAACCCAAGGCACAGTGAGCTCTCAGCAAAAATCAGTTCAGTGTCATATCAGAGGCTCCTCAGCTATGAATTTATATTTTATTATATATATATTATATATTATATTATTATGTTTATTTATATTATTAATTAATTTATATTTTTTTTTTAAAAAAGTCCATGTGGGGATGCCAAGCACCAGTTTGCTCCATGGAGACATTCCCGTTTAGCTTCCATGAAGGAAAAGTTAGACCATGACACTTGAACTATCAAATTAAGCCATTCATCATCAGCCTTTTCCCAGTGACTGGAACAGCATTTTCCAAAGAATGTGAGGAAGGAAGGAAGAGGAATAGCCAGGGATTTCCTGTCAGGTGGCAACTCTGCAAAGGGCAGAGGTGAGGGACTCTGGGCACACGTGTGGAGGTCTGTGCACACATGGCCAGTTTGGAAACCTCGTTGTTCACTGGTTAAATCTCATTATTCACTGGTTAAACCTCATTG